TTCTTCTTCTTCTTCTTCTTTAAACCCGCTATCTCCTTACCAGTACCAGTTCAAGCACTGATTTTTTCACTGAAGGTCTCCAATTTCGCCGGAGGTGTGCACGGACATCAAGCGATCGTTTCTTTCTTGCCGCTAGTCACTACGGTAGATCATGGAGCTCTTCCCTGGTCGACCTGAACAACGCCATTTGCTGCTTACTCAGCATCAGTGATCCGCGCGCATGCGCCAGGCAGGGGCGTTGTCCAATGTGCTTGCGAGCGTATTCTACCGGGCGAGTTGGCAGACCTGCAGAGGAACTGTCAGCCTCCAGTACCTTCTGTAAGTAAGTGTGCACATTTCCAACTGGCTATCTTGCTGTTGATATGCACGAAGAGCAACTTGCCACAGTCTGCGCGGTGTTACGCGCGCCTTGCGGGGCACTCAGTCAAATGGGCCTTCATTGTTTGTCCCCCCCAGGTTGTAGCCTGATTACCAAAGCCTGCCAATGAAACCACAACCATGTGCAATAATCTAATTACATCCTTGTTGAAGACAATACATGGTATCTAGCAGCCCCATTAGCTACTACTTTCAATTTGTCTATGGTAGCCTATCTACAACATAGCCATGAACATCAGAGTGACTGTAACAATAAATGCAGTGTTGCCAGAAGCTGTTAAAAATAGTGGAAACAAGTGGAAAAATCATTTCTTCAAAATGAAAGGGGGATATAGGGATGGCTTGAAGCACCAAAAAGGAAGAAACAAGGGGTCATTACACAGCAAAGTTGCACAAAGCTACATGACACCATCCCTATATCTTTGTTTTATTGTTTATAAGCAAAGTTTAATATCAAACAATATCAAACAAAGATATAGGGATGGTGTCATGTAGCTTTGTGCAACTTTGCTGTGTAATGACCCCTTGTTTCTTCCTTTTTGGTGCTTCAAGCCATCCTTATATCCCCCTTTCATTTTGAAGAAATGATTTTTCCACTTGTGTAAGTTAAGTGTGAGCTGTTTTTTTGCATGGATCATCTCTCTCTACTGTAGTCTGATATGCACTGCCTCATATATATATGGTCTTTGCAACCGTAGAAGAGATGCTGTTGAGAAAGTTCTTCAAATTTGGGGTAAGGCTACACAATCGAGTCATGTGACAGTCACATGATCTTCACACAGGAGGACATTCTTCTGGAGGTCCAGATACATAATGCCACGCCCACTCACAGTTTCTCGACACCGTAACCTTTGACCCTTCGGCGGTGTTCAGAGCCCAAGACTTGAACACCATTCGCACCAACAAGTCAGCCAAAAAACCAACGATCCAACTCAGTTTTGCAGTTCGGAGGTGTCAGTGTTTGGAAAAGATAACCGTCTTCCTCCACGGAACATCTGTCAACACCTGTACAAACTGACTCCCCTCGGTCCTCTACAAACTTCCAGAGGGGTCAGTCTCTGCACTGGTGGTGCAGACGGAGAACTTTTGGGAATGAGAACTGAAAGAAAACTTGTGCGAATGTAACCAGTTCCAAAGTTGTTTTATCAACAAATAGGCTGCGACCATTTTATTGTGGAACCAGCATCTGCAAATTTTTGGGAAATTCTAGGTTTGGTATATACAACTTCTTATATACTAGAGACGGGCAGGATCCTCACTGGACTGCTCAAAGCCACAGTCAGCTCTCCCTGCCTTCTCCCCCCACCCAACTTCACTCATTTCCTTCCCTCTCTCACTGAATGCAGCTACCTCCACTCCCACAGTTGAAGGTGACGGTGGTAGAGTCACCAGGTACTGTCAGTCTGGAGAGACCGTTCAGAATCACTCTCAGAGTTCACAACGGAAGGTCTGAACACAATACTCTCTCTCTCAAACAACCATACGAGAAAGCCCCACATCCAACTCCAGGGCATTAATGTGTTTAAGGGGTGTTCTCAGAAACACTCATAGCAGTCAAAAGCAAATGTCACTACATGACAAAAAGTACATGACA